TTCATTTGTATTTATCACAGTCCAAGTATCATCCAACATCATAGCACTGCTTTTGCGAGTGCTGGAGTGAAAGAGTCAAGGGTCAATCAAAGCTTGAAAACACAAATTTACACACATTTACTTACACAAATCTTTTCATGTCAGCCATAAATTAAAAATCGATATTGTTTTTGAGAATCGATACAGTATCACAAGACACAGTATCGGAAAACTCAAGTGTATCAGTATTTTCTTACACCCCTAGGTTTTACGGCCCACAACTTTAAAGTTATATTTCAGTCTCACAGTACTCATCAACATCATTTTCAGCTGCAGCGGCAGATTTTTTTCTGTGGGAAAGCTATATGTGCGCTACTGCTATACTGATTCAAACAAAACAGTTTAAAGAAAATGAAACAATGAGCCTCATATAAAGGTCATAAACATGTGAATCAAACTGATTCGAATGTTTACATCCATATTTGTACAACTGTGTGTTTGTGCATGCAGGGTGTGCATAGTATGGGTTTACAGTGGAGTGACTGATACCTGCACTGTGATGTGTGTTTAGCCACCTGTGACCTGACTAGCAGCGTGTTTGTTTAGCCTTGTTTTCCCCAGTGTGAGGAGCAGTGTACCGGCTGCTGCCAGGCCGGGCCGACACTGGGCTACATTATTTATGAGAGCCAGTCTCATATCACAGCAGAACCGCAATGCTGCATTTACTGCACCGTTGGTTTATTTACCCAGACTTCCTACTATTTCTCTGGCGCTCTGTCTTTCTCTCTGTCACTCTCTCCCTTGTTCATCCTGAGGGCTGTTTCTTTTTTTTTTTTTTACCATCTCCCTTTAGATAACAGAGGATCCAATAAATGGAAACCACTGCCTTCGAGGGAGAAATCATCACTGTAGGAACTCTGGCGATTAAACTTCACTTTCTTCCCATCATCATCCACAGTTAATGTCCTATTTGAAATGAAATCAGTTACTTTTTTCAGCACATAATTAATTCATCTAGAATGGCACAAATGAAGCAAATCCCCTCAAAGTGTGATCTTTCACTTTAGCGCAGCTCAAGCAGCGACTGAATAAAGAAAAAAGAGAAAACATTTAATAGATTTTACTGAGTAATGGTACTCTGCCAAGCTTAGAGGGTGAGCATGACATTTCAAAAATGTACTTAGTTCATTTTCTTCACCACTCAGTTGATACATTACAGGAAACTCTTTCTGGATTTGTCCTTTTAGCTACCCTAAAAATGTCATCACTGATTCCAACTGCTGTAAGCAAGTGTGCCACAATGCAAACTATGTTAACGAGTGTCAGCAGAGAAGCCCTTTAACTAAAACAGGAACACTGCCTGTTACAGGCAACACACAGATAAATGTTCAAAATGTCACATTTTTCCTTTAACAAGGTCTGATGTCATTGTGTCTTCTCTAATATTTATATTCAGACAATCTTTGCTCGTGGCAGCATGGAAATTAAAAACAGTTTTAGCTTCTATTTGTGGAACAAGATGATAAAAAGGTGGAAACTCTGAAAGAGGCACAAGGAGGAGGGGAGGAGGAAAGGGAGAGTAGAGCTTATAGATATGGTTCAGAGTTGCCTCAAAAAAATCTTCAAGCGTGTATTCTTTAGAAGATGTTTGGTTTTTAGTGTGCTTGTCTGTAACTGTCACCACAATTCATGCTTGTGTAACTTTTCAAGATGAAGGTGTAAAGATGGACAGACTGAAAATGAAATGTAGGTGTCCACCTAAACATGGAGACCCTCCTCATCAGAAAAAACACAGCATGGACTTGTGTTGTAACGCTTAAAACTAAATGTGTTTTTGTGATCTGAAGTGATGTCTTGTGATCACAAAAGCAGTGCATGTTCTCTATGTAGCAGAGGTGGAAGTATTGCGGTTATTATGGCATCCTTCTACTCCTGCAAAAACATTTTAGGCCCCTACATATAATCAGCAGCAGAATGTCTATACACCAAGATTTGCCACGGTTTTCCGATGGAGAAAGTGAAAAAACCAAACCTACTTTACGTGCCGAACGCCACTTGGATTTTACACCTCGCTCTGAACTCAGGGGTCAGTCAGTCTCTACTGAAATCTTGTTTGGTGACCTTTCTATGAGCAACCAATGAGATGACAGCTGTCTGACAAAAGGCCATTTTCTTAGTTTCAGTTTCTATAATTGTATGAAACCACAGGTTGGGAAGAAGTCAACAGTGGCATTGTGCTGCTATATGGGGCACACTGTTGATGAAAGCCTAAGCTGCACCTTGCCTTTGCACTGTGCTGAATACCCCACCACCCCACCTTATAGTGAGCAAGGTGGGTTAGTAAATGATACATGTACTGTACTTAAATAGTGCCTTTCTAGTGAGTGCTAGTTCACTAGTGAGTTCACTGAGTGCTTTACACTACGTCACATTCACCCAGTCACAAACTGATGGCAGAGGCTGCCGTGCCGACTGCTCAGCAGAAACAGAAACCAATCCAATTTAATGTAGGTATCTAGCTGAAGGACACTTTGACATGCAGCAACCAGGTATTGAAAACACCAACCTTCTGATTGGTGGACGACTTGCTTTGCCCCCTGAGCCACAGCTGCTCACAGCTGGCTGTATGGTTGTATATTAAAACTGGGTGACTTTGCATTAATTACAGATCCGATCTCATACTAACCAGTAAACATTGGTTCAGACTTTAACCAAAACTTAATCAAATGTTAACCATAGAGGTGGCAGATCAAAAAACGAAAATGACAGCCGTTCTTGTCCTTTTCTTAAAAACAATTTTAAAATGGTTTCTATTGAGGGTTGTTTGCCTTTAGAATATAAAGCAAATGAAGCTTATAGTTTACTCTTTTTATGACTGTATTATTTACAATAGAAGATATACAGTGAGAGAGTCAGAGACACATACAGAGATAAAGAGCCATTTATTTTCTTGCTTCATTGCTTGAAACTTTGTCACCGGTCCCAGTGAGCTCTGCAGACTCTCGCCTCTTCAGCAGGCCCCAGCCTCACTTACCCTGCACCACCGAGCGAGAAATTAACAATGCTAATCAATGGAGCCAAATGCTGTGTTTTTATCATCTCCTTGTTTTGATGTATTTAGTCCTGGGCTAATCATTATGGAGATAAACTGCAGTTGTCAGGTGCCTCAGGGGCTCGAAGGAGAGATGGTCAATATGGCAAGATTTACCTAATATATATTGTTATTGTAATATACAGGAGCAGTTATTACTGATCAGCTTGTGTTTGAGACTTCTTTAAATGAGGGTTGTGTGCAGCTTCTTCTCGTATTACAAATAGAGCTGCACAATGTTTTGTATTTTTACCACTATTGTAACTATTGTAAAGATTTGCTAAACGAATTGCAAAAGAATGTGATGTCACATCTTCTTGTTGTTGAATATTTTAGCATTTGAAAATGTTTAAATTCAAATATAGGTAATACGCG